ATTGACTATCATTCACTTAAACCTCAGTGGCTTTCACGAAGCATTTTTTTTTAACAGGCAAAGTTAGAGAGAGAGACAGAGAGAAAGGTCTTCCTTCCATTGGTTCACCCCCCAAAACGGCCGCCACAGCCAGCACCCTGCGACCAGCGCACTGCGCCCATCTGAAGCCAGGAGCCAGGTGCTTCCTCCTGGTCTCTCATGCGGGTGCAGGGCCCAAACACTTGGGCCATCCTCTACTGCCTTCCCGGGCCACAGCAGAGAGCTGGACTGGAAGAGGAGCAACCGGGACAGAAGCCGGCGCCCCGACCAGGACTAGAACCCAGAGTGCTGGTGCCGCAGGTGGAGGATTAGCCAAGTGAGCCTTGACGCAGGCCTCCACGAAGAATTTGTCTTCATTCTCCTGCATACTCAGCGGATCAGTACCCGATACCCGGGCTTCCTGTACAGGCTGGGAACAAACATTCAGGGAGCCTACACCTCGAGGCACACGTGTGCTTGTTTCCAGCACAGAAGGACAGAGTCTGTGTCCCTAGGATCTGTTTTCCTGACGCCTGCATCCAGGGTCAGATGCTAATCCCTGCTTGGAGTGATCACAGTGGACCACCACTGGCTGTATGAGTCCAACACTAACGGAGCAGCACTCATCAGCTGAAATGATTTCTCTCTCACTGAATCAAGAGAAGCGCTGTCACAACTGTTGAGACTCTGAGGAGGGCGAGTTAAGACACAGGTGATTCTCCTTGACCTGCTAATGGAACCCTCCGGGGACCTTCACAGCCCGGCTGCTTCTGAGAATCACGCTCAGCAGAGGGAGGTTCCAGGAGCAGCAGCTGGGACCGCCCAGCCTACACTGGTGCCCCCCCGGGGGGTTTATGTTCGGGCTTGTACCACTGTGGTAGTGGAATGATAATCGTATGACAGTAATAAGTTCCTGAGTGTTCAGGGTGCACGCCGCTGATGCTGAGGCTGTCATCGGTCCCGGATCCGCTGCCTCTGACCCGCGAGGGGACCCCAGATGGCAGAGTGGAAGCACGGTAGATCAGGAGCCCGGGAGATTTCCCCGGTTTCTGCTCAGACCAGGAGATGTAGCCGCTAACGCCCCCACTGGCCTTACAACACATGGTGACTGTGTCGCCTGCAGGCGCAGACGGGGAGGATGGAGACGGGGTCAGCTGGACGGCACGTCTGGCACCTCGGATGAGAAACAGACACACAGCCATCAGTCTGATCTCCGTGTTGTCAGTGGACTCCCTGAGTCCTCCAGCACGGACCACCGACCGAGTCAGTGTTGGTGTGGTTCCTCACCTGGCAGCCAGAGCAGCAGGAGCCGCAGCAGCTGAGTGGGGGCCTTCGTGTCCATGCTGGGTCTGCACTGGCACTGACCCTGCACAAGGTGTGAGCCCTCTGATCTTAAGTCTTCAGGGCAGGGGCTGTGCTGGGGGCACGCAAATCAGCTGAACTGGGGCAGAGCCCAGGGCGTGGCCGGCTCATGGAACTGAATCAGCCCAGGTGCAGGACCAGATGCCACACCAGACCAGTGCAGCTCCAATTCGCCTGCGGAGTCTAAGTTTCTCCTGGGTAACTTTCATGAGAAATGTATTTCAAGGACAAGTTCAAATCCTGATATTAACCTGATGATGAATTGAAGTAATGCATTTCAATATCGTTTTTGGAGAATTGTTTTGTTTGTAAGAAGCAAGTCATCACATACTGCAGAGTTGGGCTATCATTTGTTCAGAGTCACTCTCAAATATTTCTGCTGCAAATTGGAAATACTTTGTACTGTCTCTTGACCATTCCTTTTAAGATGAAATTGAAATGACTTTTTAGAAACAAAACATTTCTAACAATGCCTTCATGCCAAGACAATGGGGAGAAGAGCAGATTCCCAGGCTAAGAGCACACAGCAGAGCGAGCCCACACTCAGCACTCGGGCAGCTCCTCCCGCATGCATACCAGGTCCCACCAGAGACACCATTCCAGCCCCAGGGACTCCATACTGTTGCTGGAACAGAATAACTTTTACTTCTTCCCCTTTCCAAAAGTGGTCTCTATTTTGTATACGTCGCGCCATGTAATGGCACGTGTTTGACACAGCATCTAGAGGAGCTGGCGGCTGAGTCCCAGTGGTTCTGATTGTGACTTCAGGAGTGCTGGTGGTGCTCATCCTATTACAACCAGCACTAGGCCAGGTTCTGCGGGGAACACGGGGCGATCTCTTGCATCAGTAACCCCTGTCATGTCTGAGGTCAGTAGGTTTTCAGAAAAGTTACTGGTCAGGAACCATGAAAAGGTGAGATCTGTAATTTTGTCAGATATCAGCCATGGAAATGAGAGGGTCAGATGCTGCAGGGTACAATGGCAGCATAGGGGTGTGAACAGAGGGCTCCAGGTTAGGCCCTGACTCCAGCCTCCCGCCCAGGACTGACTGTGAGATCCACAGTGCTGCACCTGCTGTGAAACCACCTGGGATCACCACATCCCTGGACATTTCTACCCTTTCTCTGACACCCAGAATGACCAAATGTCATCATTTACACAGCACTAACCACATTAGTTCTCTGCATCATTGATAATATCCACGGCTCTGTTGCAGGACACAGAGCTGGTCTCCAGTCTCCTGGTTGATTCATGCGGGGGTCAGGGGAAAGCAGTGATGACCCAGGACCCCAGATCCTCATGGCAAGAAGTAGCAGCAAACAACATACCCAGATCAAGCGATACACTCTATGGGAATTTATTTTCTTTCCAGCTTTCACATTTTTTAAAAAAGATGTATTTATGTAAGTATTTATTTATTTGAAAGGCAGAGTGAGAGATGGACAGACAGAGAGGAGAGAAAGAGGGTGGAACATACAGAGATCTTCCATCTGCTGCTCACTACACAAATGGCTACAACCACTGGAGATGGGCCAATCTGAGGCCAGGAGCCAGGAGCTTCTTCTGGGTCTCCCACATAGATGCAGGGACCCAAGGACTTGCGCTCTCCTCCCCTGCTTTCTCGGGTGTACTAGCAGAGAGCTGGATGGGAAGTGGAGCAGCCTGGACTTGAACAGGCTCCAGTATGGGATGCCAGCACCAAAAAAGGTGGCTTTACCTGCTACTCCACAGGTTGGTCCCCAGCATTTACTCTTAAAAAGGATTCTAGGTTTGATTTTCATTAATTAGCAGACAAAGCTATATCATGGGAGTGTTTTACCGTATATGGTACATAGAGTTTTCTTCAATGGCTTCATATTGGGTACAGTCTCTTAACCTGATAAATGTCCCCATAATGAGGTTTCTATACATGCACAGGTGACCCCTGAGCTTGCTAACATGCAGATTCTCAGCACACCCACAGTGGTTGCACAGTTTTGCACCTGTAACCTGCTCTCAGAGAGGCTGATTAGGCTGTGGAGTTCTGGACACCTTGAGTGGAAAGGAAGAAAATATGACTGCCACCTTTACTTTTAGTTTTGTCAAGACAGTGGCACACTTCTCCAATGATTGTTGCATATTTCATGAAAAGTCCTGAATCCTCAGTGAACTCTGTGACCCCGGGTCCCTTGCTATGAGCTCTCCTTTCTGATGATTCCAAGAAGCACTTTCGAATGAATGCCTCTGGGGCCACACCCACACTGACCCACTTCTGAGAGTTCAGAGAACAGTCAGAATCCAGGGCTGTGGGCTGACAGCTCCCCACGGTCAGCGTCACACCTGGGAGTAAAATCCCAGAGCTCCTGTTCTCTCCATGGTTTCCTGTGGAAGCACTCAATGAGGTCCCCTCCAGCACATCTGGATGTCAGAAGAGGAGGATTCAGTCCTACCCATCTTTCCAGCTGCAGACCCTGGATGGAGGGGAGGCCCGGGCTTCACCTGTGAGTGCTGTAGGCAGCCGAGAGCACCAGCACCCCTGACCTGCACTCCTGCTCTGACCTAAGGACTGCGGGGTGCAGCAGGCTGAGCCTTCTGTGACAGCTGTGCCCTGGCTGCTGGGGGAGGCCCGGGATCTCCCATTTCTACACAATGCTTCTGGAATGTCCATGTCCTCAGGTCTTTAACAGGCTGCAGTTTTGACTGTAAACACCTTTATTACAACAATGTCTGCTTCAAATTCTTGTAGCAGCCTCTTCTTTAACCTTATGACTGCTCACGTGCATGCCTTTTATTGGTCATAAACACTCCTGCTGACGATGGTTTGTCTGGACGAGACAGGGCTCAGCAGGATGGTTCTGCTGCAGAGAACTGAGTTTGTCTAGAGCTGTGAGATCTCTGTCAATGGGGATGTGGCTGAGGGCAATGGCACTGAGGCTACAATATTCTAACAGAGAGTTCAAGAGGGAACAAAATACCAGACCCTTAAAAATTTCACATATATTAAATGTCTTAAAAATTAGAATATAAAGCTGGGTTTCTTTATACAAATGACATTGTGTTTAAATTCGATTAAAGAATCAAGGAGATGTGAAGTCAGAAGAGAAGCACACTCAGTGCTGTCCATGACACCTGCAGGGAGAACCATGGAGTGAACAGAGGACTTTAGAACCTCCTGGGAGTGCTGCAGGCAGCCTAGAGCTTCAACACCCCACACCTGGGCTTTCTGTACAGGTCTGAGCATGACGTGGTCAGGCAGCCCTTGGTACTGTGACAGGTGGGCATGGCCTCTGGGAACCCAGCCTAGAGTGCCCGCCTCCTGTACCTGCCTTCCTGACTACTACACTCCAGGCTTTCACTGATGACACCTGAGCTCCTTATTGCCTGCTTGGAAAATCTGTGGTGCTTTACACTGGCTGTATGGATTCCTCCTGTTGCAACGACCTAGAACCATCTGGTGTAAATATGTACATTGTTGAATTAGGAGGTCCTGTTGGGCTGAGAAGGATGAGGAAAGAGTTAAGATACACAGGATACCCCCTGGTCCATTTTAACAGAACTTACCATGGACCTTCAAGCCTGGCTGCTCTGAGAATCACTCTCAGCAGATGGGGCCCAGGAGAAGCAGCTGGGGCAGCCCAGCCTCACACTTCTGCTTTCCTGGTGGTTTTTGTTAGGGTTTGTAACACTGTGGTACCGGTACTACTGTAACTATAACCGCCTAGACAGTAGTAGGTGGCAGCATCTTCAGCCTGCACGCCGCCAATGGTGAGGGTGTAATCTGTCCCAGATCCACTGCCACTGAACCGTGGTGGGACCCCAGATTCTAAATTGGATGCACCATAGATCAGGAGTGTAGGAGGTTTCCCTGGCTTCTGTTGATACCAGGATATACCACTGTAAATGTCCTCACTGGCCAGGCACCTAATCCTGACAGTTTCTCCCACAGATGCAGACAGGGAGGGTGGAGACTGGGTCATCTCAATGGCACATCTGGCACCTGCGATGAGAAACATAAAAGCACACGTCCACACTGCTCATCCTGGGTGAGAGGAGCACCCTGAGGAGCCAGGCGGCCCTGCCCACCCTGGCTGAGCCGTGCCTGCTGCTGTCCGTCCTCACCTGTGAGCCAGAGCAGCAGGAGCCCCAGGAGCGCAGTGGAGGTGCTCGTGTCCATGCTGGGTGCTGGCGGAGACCGACGCCTGCCCAGGGTGAGAGCAGCCTGGCAATAAGTGTGCAGGGCCCTGTGCTGTGCTCAGACACATGCAAATCATGGGGGGGGGAGGGGCCAGGGCCAGGCCCAGCTGCAGGGCGGGCTCCTGTGATTGACAAATAAATGCAGGTGCAATTTCTCAGTGCTTCCAGGCCAGAAGGCGCTTCAATTTCCCTCAGAGAATTTGCTTTTGTCTGCCGATATGTTCCTACAAATCACATCTTTGGAGGATAACTATTAAAAAAAAAAAAACTGATATGAGCCTTCGGATGAAACAGAGTATGTATGTTAATGCTTTCATTGGATTATGTATGAGAAAGATTTCCATCTGGAAAGAGTAACATAGATAAGATATTGGGACTCTCTCTTGATCAGTTGACTCTGAAACGTTTTGTTGTCAGGTGAATATACATTGCACTGTCCTTTCAACATTTCTCTGAGCATGACTTTGGTTTATTAAAAAAATAAGCAATTGAATTATTTTGGGGAGTTGGATTCTTTTTTCCTAATGTCAAGAGCTTTCCTGTTGTTTGTGAGGTTTGCCACATTGTCCTCATTGAGTGTCACCCAGATGAGGTCATCCAAGCTGCAGGTTTCCTTAACAGCCATGGAATGAATGGACTCCCCTTACTCCCATTGGAGACCCTGTGTTCTCCTCAGCTTTCTGTCATTTGGCCCTGCTCTCATGGTTCCCCAGTATGAAGGGCTCACAGTGATGCCAGCCCTGAGAACTTGCACAGCAGAACTCTGCCTGGTGCTCTTCCCCGTCTGCCCTATCAATGCTGCTTTTCCCTGTCCTGTTAGCAGTGGGTGCAGAACTCATTTTGTCCAGACTCCAGCCTGCCTGCATCTCCAGAGTCTCCTATTATGCCTCAAATTTGCTCCTGCAAATGTACAGGTAAACGATTTTGGAACCAACAAAATTTTGAGCATAGCTTTGAAGCCTTTTATCTCACATCTCTACATTGGCTCCAGGATTCCTGCAAGGTTGAGGAACAGGCTGACTGGAAGCAACGATGTCAGCATGAGCACCTGGAGCTGGGGCACTCAGGGGAGTGATCCTGAGCCTGAACAACAAGAAGCCAGAGTCCAGCGGTGCAGCCTGTACACACCCCTCCTGTTGCTGTACACACATCCTGTAGCCTTTGGGGATATCATTTGTTTTCTGGTGGCAATTGAAAATACTTGTACTGTCTTTTATGAATTTCTATGAAGATGAAAATGAAACACATTTTTAGGAAGCAAACAAGACGTTTATAAAAAGTGCCTTAGTGCCAGGAAATCGGGTCTGGTAAGGCCAATATCCCAAGCTAAGAGCACAGGGCAGATTGTGCCCACAACTCAGCATAGTGCCAGCTGCCCCCGCCCAGTGCATTCCTGGCTCCGCCTGGGACCCCTACCCTTAGTCAGAATCACATTTACTTTCCTACTGTTTCCAAATTAGGCCTCTTCCTTTTCTTTGGGGGCCACCTAACGGCAGGTGTGTGACACAGCATCCTATAGGCATTTAGAAAGCTGAGTGCCAATCAGTCTCCACTGTGAGTCCTTTCGGGGGTGCTCATGTGTTCCTCCTGTTACAACCGTCACCACACCGGGTTCAGTTGAAGCGCAGGATGATGCTTTATCACCTACCTGAGGATAATCAGTTTCAGAAAAAATATCAGGGCCAGCGCCGTGGCTCACTTGGTTAATCCTCCACCTGTGGCACCGGCATCCCATATGGGCGCCAGGTTCTAGTCCCGGTTGCTCCTCTTCTAGTCCAGCTCTCTGCTGTGGCCCGGGAGGGCAGTAAAGGATGGCCCAAGTGCTTCGGCCCTGCACCCGCATGGGGGGCCAGGAGGATACACCTGGCTCCTGGCTTCGGATCGGCACAGCGCCGGCTGCAGCAGCCATTTAGGGAGTGAACCAAGAGAAGGAAGACCTTTCTCTCTGTCTCTCTCTCTCTCTCTCACTATCTATAACTCTACCTGTCAAATATATAAAAAAGAGAAAATATATCAGTCCGAAGCCACGAAAATGATTCTGTGATTCATGTCGGGGTCAGACACTGGGTTTTGGAAAACAGAGGATGGAATCCTGCAGGGCACAGTGAGAGCCTCTGGGTGTCAGCAGGGGGCTCCCGGTCTAGATTGGCCAATCCAGCCTCACCCCCCATCCGTGAGAACCACAGCAGCTGCACCTGCTGGGGAATCACCTAGGGACCACCAGATGCCTGGACATTTCTACCCTTGCTCTGACAGTTGGAATGACCAAGTGTCATCATTTAGACCAGCAGTGACCAAAATAATATTCAAAATCATGATAATATCTATGTTTGTGTGGAGCAATAGGGAAGTGAGAATCACACATGTCTACCGAGCCCTTGAAGGAAATCTAGTGTAAGAGAGGAACTGTATTCATAATTTATTAGCTCTAATTCACATTTTTGTAGATAGGCACTGCTCATGTATAACACCTTAGAAGGCACAGTTTTGGGCAATGACAGCATTGTCACCAGAATACAGAAGCCACTAAAATTAAGCAAGGATCTGTTCCATGACCATGGCTCTGACCTGCAAAATGGATTTTGGCCAAAACAGACCCAGAAAGCACATTGTGGATCTTTAGAAATTTCCCTGGGTTCTGGTGCTGTGAGGAAGGTGATGGGGTTTATTATTCTGGGAGATCCTATGGGGGAAGTCAAAGGCTGAATCTTACAGTGCTGCCCCTAATATATGAGACAGAAACAAAGTAAAAAACATGATAAATACAACCCTTAAGGGAATGGAATCACAGAAGACTTGGGATGCTTCCAGCATTAGCTGACTTTTTATTACTAAACTGGAAAACTACTTCTTCCAATAACACTCAATGGTTTTTCAAAATCTAATGGCCCCTGCACTCTCTGGATGATTCCCTTTCTTTTGCTGTGTATTATGGCATGCGCTTCCACGGCTCTCTCCCAAGCATTCAGGTGTATCCTGAGAACATCCCTGACCAACACCAATAAACCACTCCCACCTCGAGACCCCGTACACCACTGCCTGGCTCTTTTTTATAATTATCAATTACTGAAGTTATTCACTCACTTTTGTTCATGTATCGATTGTTTTGTGAATGGAACTCTCTTCTACTATCAACACAATGTTAGTAAGTGAACTCAAAATGTGTCTAATTTCCTCACATGCCTCTCTACCCTCTCGCATGATGGTTTTAGCCTGTTTCTGAAAACTCTTAGTAAGAGCCATTAAATGTAAAAAAAAAAATCTGTTATTTTTATTAGAGCAAAGCAGGGTTCATTCCAATCCACTCAGGACTATTTTCACAGTTGACCGAGATCAATTGGAACAGTGGGAAACAAGTTTACTGGAGTAGCAGGTATAATCCTGAAACTAAGGAAACACAGTTTGAACGTGAAATATGCAATTATGACTTACTGTGCACAACAAGAGGAGAAAACAGGTCACAGAGGGGCTGGGGCAATCAGACCTTGGACAGCGGGGCGGGGGTGGGGTGTGTGTGTGTCAAATGACTGACATTGGGCAGTTTTCAACATCAGGACCACATGTGTCCCGAAGGATTATCTTTCCTCCAGTTGAGGTTCAAGAGGAGCTCCCGATGGGGTAGTTTGGCACATTCATAGAATATGTGGAACACAGGTTGAATATACACATTTCAGAATAAATAAAAATATTTCACACACATACAAAGTATCTAACAACAGGTCGCACCGCTGTAATTCTTTATTTTTGGGTTTAAAAATTATAGTGCAGGGGCCGGCGCTGTGGCATGGCAGGTAAAGCTGCCGCCTGCAGTACTGGCATCCCATATGGGCACCGCTTTGAGTCCTGGCTGCTCTACTTCCAATCCAGCTCTCTGCTATGGCCTGGGAAAGCAGTGGAAGATGGTCCACATCCTTTGGCCCCCTGCATCCATGTGGCAGACCCAGAAGAAGCTCCTGGCTCCTGGCTTCAGATCAGCACAGCTCTGGCCATTGTGGCCATTTGGGGATTGAATCAGCCAATGGAAGAACTCCCCTCCACCACCCTCTCTTTCTCTCTACCTCTGCATCTCTGTAACTCTGCCTTCAAATAAATAAATAAATATTTTTTAAAAAATTATAGTGCGCAATTCAAACTTGTCCCATAATTTGTTCTCTAACTTGAAAATATCCTGTGGGAAAAATTGCTGAAATCATAACGTAGAAACAGCACTTATCACAATGTATAACATGTGTGGTACTGATGAAACAATATTGAAAACTGTGTGAAGTGGTGAAAGTCATTAATGAAATGTTATCCACTGAGATGCCAGTCTGTATTCCCAATACCTAGATTGTGTGCCACCATTTATTGTGGCATGAGTGAACAGGTGCATAGGAAAAATAAGCCAGTGAATCCAGTAGTTTTTTGTATTAAAGCTATTAACAGTAGGGTGCTAGTCCTGACACTCTAAACAGATGTGAGAAAATTCTCTGTAATTTTTCTGTACTGGATTGTGTTTATTTGTGTTCCTATAAAGATTTGTCTATTTGAAGGCCAGAGTTGAGAGAGAGAAAGAGAAACACTGGGCTGGCCTGAAGCCAGGAACTGCAACAAAATCTCCTGACTTCTCAGCTAATGCTGTGACTGCACAAGTTTCTTGCTATGAGCTCAACCTCCTGATGGTACTCAAAGACACAGACAAATACACTCTGGGGCCAGGTCCAAACTGACAATTCTGAGATCAGAAACCAGAACCCTGCGCTGTCTGCCATCAGCTCCCCAGGCTCAGCCTCACATATGGAAGCACATTCCCCGTTCTCCTTTTCTCCCTTGAGTTTCACATGGAGCTGCTCGGTGGGACCTTGTCCAGGATATGTGGAAGTCCGAAGAGGACCCAGCAGGTTCTGCAGGCAGACACATGGACAGAGGTGAGGACTGGGGATCAACTGCGACCCAACCCTGGGCCTCCTGGTGTCATCCAAGGGCTGCACGGTTCAACAGCCTGTGTCCTCTGTGACAGACGATCTCCCACCTCTCCCAAGTACTTCCATAACTACCATAGGACCAGTGAGCTCCCACCTCTTCCAAGT